GAGTTGGAGTCTCACTCTGCCGCCCAGACTGGAGTGCAGTGGACGCTCCCGGCCACCACAGCCTCACCTGCTGGGCTCTGGCGATCCTTCTGCCTCAGTCTTCCGAGTAGCCGGAATTACAGGCGCGCGCTACCATGCCCGGCTAATTTTTTAATTTTATTTTATTGTAGAGATGAGGTCTCGCCAAGTTGGCCAGGCGGGTCTCGAACCCGCGGGCTCAGGCAATCCACTCACCTCAGCCTCCCAAGGCGCAGGATTACAGGCTGAGCCACAGAGCCTGGCTCTCACCCAGTTTAAATATCATCCATCCAATGATTCTCCTCCAAACCTCTCCACTGAACTCCAGACTCACATATCTGACTGCCTATTTAATAACTCCACTAAATATCTTTTTTAAATTTATTTTTATTTATTTATTTATTTTTGAGTTGGAGTCTGACTCTGTCATGCAGGCTGGAGTGCAGTGGCACGCTCACAGCCACTACAGCCTGGACATACTGGATTCAGATGATCTCTCTGCTTCAGCCTTCCAAGTAGCTGGAACTATAGGCATGTGCCACTACACTTGGCTAATTTTTTTATTTTCTTGTAGAGACAAGGTCTCACCATGTTACCCAGGCTGGTCTTGAACCCATGGGCTCAGGCAATCCTCTTGCCTCTGCCTCCCAAAGTGCTGGGATTACAGGCTTGGGTCACTGTGTCTGGCTCTGCTAAATACCTAATGGACATCTCAAACTTTTTTGTTGTTGTTGTTGAGTTGGAGTCTCACTCTGTCGCCCAGACTGGAATACAGTGGCTGCTTCCAGTCACCGCAGCCTGGACCTACCGGGCTCCGGCGATCCTTCCGCCTCAGCCTTTCGAGTAGCCGGAATTACAGGCGTGCATTACCACACCCAGTTGATTTTGGATTTATTGTAGAGATGAGGTCTCGTCAAGTTGCCCAGGCAGGTCTCGAACTCGTGGGCTCAGGCAATCCACTCACCTCAGCCTGACATCTCAGACTTAACAAGCCCAACACTCAGCTCCTCATCCTCACCGCCTCCCTAACCTTTTCCATCCCCTTGATTCTCCCCATCCAACCAATTGTAGTGTCATTCTATCTTTTTCTCATGCCCCATATCCAATCCACAAGCAAATTCTAATGTTTATAGCTCAGGATATATCTAGAATTCAACCAATTTGCACATCTCCTGCCAACCCCTCCTCCCCCCTCTGATCTAGCCATTATCATCTTTACCTGTATTACTACAAGAGTCTGTCAACTCTCTCTGTGTAGAACTTTCCTCTTTATATTTTCCACACAGCCCCCAGAGTGGTCCTGCTGAAACCAAAACCTAAGTCAAACCATGACACTTCCTTGGAGTGAAAGGCAAAGGCTTTACAGTGGCCTACAAGGACCCACACAAACTGCTTGACCAACTCCCTTCTCTCCTCTAGTGCCCGGGACAGAAGCTGGCAAAGAACATGCATTCAGTACAAAACTGCTGAAGGAATAAAGTGTATTGAAGTGTGCCATGAACTACGGAACATGATTTACTCAATTATTTGCACTTGAGGTCCAAAACCAAAGTCAACAAAACAATGCATTTATTTTAAAAAATAAAACTGGCTGGGCTCGGTGGCCCAGTCTGTAATCCTGCGCCTTGGGAGGTTGAGGTGAGTGAACTGCCTGAGCCCGTGGGTTCGAGACCCGCCTGGGCAACTTGGCGAGACCACATCTCTACAATAAATTAAAAAAAATTAGCCAGGCGTGGTAGCGCACGCCTGTAGTTCCAGCTACTTGGAAGGCTGAGGCAGAAGGAACGCCAGAGCCCAGCAGGTCGAGGCTGCAGTGGCCAGGAGCGGCCACTGCACTCCAGTCTGGGCGACAGAGTGAGATTCCAACTCAAAAAAAAAAAAAAAAAATAAATAAATAAATAAAACTGTTTTTTCCTTTGTTACCTGGATTCAATGTCAGACAAAGAGATGTCACTCCAGCTTCCTTCTAAATCCATATCTTGTCCAAGTTCATTGAATTTCTTGTGGATTTCCTGTTGCAAGAGTTCCTTAAGCTCTGCTAGACACTGAGTGAACTGTGAAAGTGAAAAAAGAACTCTTTTGATACTTCATTTATTCATCAAATATTTGCTAAGTGCATGCTTAAAGGCATTGTATTTATTTCTGGGAACACAAAGCTGAGCAACCTGCAACCTTTGCTACTAAGGACATGCTAATAGAGAAATTAGGCCAGATGTGGTGGCTCACACCTGTAATCTCTACATGTTGGGAGGCCGAAGTGGGAAGACTGCTTGAGGCCAGGAGCTCTAGATCAGCCTGGGCAATATAATGAGACCTTATCTCTACAAACAAATAAAACCAGATAAATTACATAAGATTTAGAAACAGAATTTTGTTTAGAGTATTAGATCAATGAGCACTGCTTTAGTCACTTTCCTCTGGCTTTTCTATAGTATACTCAGCTTTTTTTTTTTTTTTTTGAGTTGGAGTCTCACTCTGTTGCCCAGGCTGGAGTGCAATGGCACACTCATGACCACTGCAGCCTTGACCCGCTGTGCTCAGGCAATCCTTCTGCCTCAGCCTTCTGTAGCTGGGACTACAGGCGTGAGTCACCACACCCGGCCAATTTTTTGATTGTGTAGAGATGAGGTCTCACCAAGTTGCACAGGCTGGTCTTGAACCCTTGGGCTCAAGCAATCCTGTCACCTCAGCCTCCCAAAGTGCTGGAATTACAGGCATAAGCCACTGCACCTGGTCTATACTCTTCTTAAACAATGTAATGATCTGATTTATTTATTTATTTTTTGAGAAGCAAAGAAGGAAAAGTTAGAATGAGGTTGTCCAGATTTTGGCCTATGGAAAATATAATTTAACAGGCCATGTTGTGGCCACATTTTCCTTTAAATATGTTTTGTTAAACACTTGCATCAGAGTAGTACATATCAAATGTTTCCAACATTTCAGAAGGGATATGAGAGATGTTGGAGACCATGAGTACAGAATCCCTTCTAAGATGCTGAGTGATAAAGGGAAATAGAAATAACCTGCTGGAGAAACAAAGCCAAAAGAAACCTTTGTGTTTTAGGACAGGGGTTGCTTGAGAGCACTTGCAGTTGAGGTGATTCAAGAAAGGAAAAAAATGGAAGACACAGGAAAAAAGGAAGTAATTAAAGAGGCAAGACAACCTGGCATGGTGGCTCATGTTTGTAATCCCAGGACTATGGGAGGCAGAGGCACGAGGATTGCCTGAGCCCAGAGGTTTGAGACCAGCCTAGGCAACTTGGCGAGACCTCATCTCTACAATAAATAAAAAAACTGCAGCCTGTAATCCCACGCCTTTGGGAGGCTGAGGTGAGTGGATTGCCTGAGTCCGCGGGTTTGAGACCCGCCTGGGCAGCGAGACCTCATCTCTACAATAAATCAAAAAATCAGCTGGGTGTGGTAGCACATGCCTGTAGCTCCAGCTACTTGGAAGGCTGAGGCAGAAGGATTGCTGGAGCCCAGCGGGTCGAGGCTGCTGTGGCTGGGAGTGGCCACTGCACTCTAGTCTGGGTGACAGAGTGAGACTCCAACTCAAAAAAAAAAAATCAGCTGGGCATGGTAGCGCGTGCCTATAATTCCAGCTACTCGGAAGGCTGAGGCGGAGGGATCGCCGGAGCCCAGTGGGTCAAGGCTGCCGTGGCCGGGAGCGGCCACTGCACTCCAGTCTGGGCGATAGAGGAGACTCCAACACACACACACACACACACTTCAGAAAAGTATTAAGAGGAAAATAAAGATCACCAAATCTCATGATGCTGACTTTAGATCCATGTGAAATCCATCACAGTAGAATCACCAAATTTCTTGAAACCCTTTTTACCTTGGTTTGGTCAGGATCACAGAAATCCAGAAGGGTATCACAGACATGATAACCAAGGGACTTTAGATCTTCAGTGGTAAAGTGAGTGTTTCTTTTACTACCTGGAAAAAAAATTCATACACATTTCCAATTAAATCTTAATGACTGAATGCAAATCTCATTTATGAATAGCTTTTTTTTTTTTGAGTCGGAGTCTCACTCTGTCGCCCAGACTGGAACCACAGCCTAGACCTGCTGGGCTCAGGCAATCCTTCCACCACAGACTTCCAAGTAGCCGGAACTACAGGTGTGCACCACCATGCCCAGCTAATTTTTTTTTTGAGTTGGAGTCTCACTCTGTCGCCCAGACTGGAGTGCA